GTTCCAGATATTGACTGCTGTACACAGATTATCGGGACTCTATCGCTTCTCCGTCGCGCAACGTGCGCGGAACTCACCAGGTTACCAGCGGCACCTGCGCGTCATCAGGTCATTAGCAGCTCAGCTCGCCTCAAGCCGCCTTCAAGGCGCGCGCCTTCACCAGGACCACCTACGCGCTCTTCGCTTTCTTTCTCCTCCAACGCCGCACTTCGTCTTTCCCTCAATCACCTACCCTACTCGCATGCTAACCTATCGTCCTATGTCTCTCCGCAAGTAGTGCAAACGTTTTTCCCGCGCATTGAGTCTAGTTTTCCCCGCCGCGCATCATAACCGCTTCTGTTAACTCACGGCATGGCCGTGTGGTTGCGGCAATTCGTGTCGAGCGACGAGTGGCAGGACGCCGCAGCCGCGGGCATCACGCTCGCCATCTGCCTCGGATGGCTGCTCTCCGTCCAATCTCTCGTCGCGCTCCGTCTGATCTCCGTCTATCTCAGCCGTAAACTCATCCACATCTTCACCGGTCCCATCTTCATGCTGACGTGGAACCTCTTCTCCAATCAGCCCTACGCGCGCCTCGCGGCAGCCGTCGTCCCGCTCTTAATCACCCTCCACTTCACGCTCGTCGGTCTAGGCATGGTTAAGGATCAGTCAGCTATTAACTCCGTCACGCGACGCGGCGATCGCAGGGAAATGCTGCGGGGCCCGGTGATGTACGGGCTGTGCTTCGTCGCCTTCACTGTGCTCTTTTGGCGCCACTCCCCCTCCGCCTTTCTCGCGCTCAACGCGCTCTGCGCGGGAGACGGATTCGCGGAACTCGCGGGACGGCGGTTCGGGAGCGCGCCTTCGCAGAAGCTTCCGTGGTCCGGGGTCAAGAGCTGGCCTGGCAGCGCGGCGATGCTTCTCTGCAGCTTCGGGTTTGGGTTCGGATCGCTGCTGCTCTTTGATTCGTTCGGCAACTTCGCCCCGCGCCACGTCCACGTGGCAACAGCAGCGCCTGCCACGTTGGCAATAGCAGCGGGTGCAGCGGCAGTGGAAGCGGTGGCTCCTGGCGATTGGGACAACGTGCTAGTGTGTGTGGTTGTGGCTGTAGCGGGGGAGATGGCAATGCCTCTGCTCGTGAGGTGACTATAGTGAGGCAGATTTATCTCGGCTGGTTACTCCGTGCTCCCCGCTGGTGGGACGAGGCTAGCAGCATGGCAGCTGATTGGTTGGTGAGGTGTCAGCCTGAGCTGCATCAGGTGGCATTTGGAAAAGAGCTGGCCGCAGAGGGAGGATGGTTGGAAAATAGCTGGCAGCAGATGTGTGAACTGAGAGACGAGGGAGATTGCACAGCAGGGGATGGATGAGATGAGATGGCTGATAAAGCCCTTGCTTGTGAGCTGACATGTTTTGTGGCTTGTTGGGGGAGTGGCACAGAAGACATGTCTGCTCGCAAAGGCAAGGGAGCAGGAATTTGTCAGGAGGAAGCAGGTGATGGCAGTATGGTAGCCAGGGAGATAAGCAAACGAGCCAACAAAGTTCCAGTCGTAGAGGAACAGGCAGATTATGGATAGAAGAATGCAAGGGGTCGAGGGAAGTGCTACGGTAGTTTGCAATACACGGGTTTGTTTGCAGCACATTGTGGTTGTCAGTAATAATGTACAGTGTCAATTTGCATATTTGTGTTGTAGGCTGTAGTGAGATATCCTATATGGTGTACAACCCTTTTAGGGTTCATACTTTTGGGGCACAACCCATGCTACCTAGGGTTTAGGGTTTAGGGTTTAGGGTTGGCACAGAAGACACGTCTGCTCGCAAAGGCAAGGGAGCAGGAATTTGTCAGGAGGAAGCAGGTGATGGCAGTATGGTAGCCAGGGAGATAAGCAAACGAGCCAACAAAGTTCCAGTCGTAGAGGAACAGGCAGATTATGGATAGAAGAATCCAAGGGGTCGAGGGAAGTGCTACGGTAGTTTGCAATACACGGGTTTGTTTGCAGCACATTGTGGTTGTCAGTAATAATGTACAGTGTCAATTTGCATATTTGTGTTGTAGGCTGTAGTGAGATATCCTATATGGTGTACAACCCTTTTAGGGTTCATACTTTTGGGGCACAACCCATGCTACCTAGTCCGATAATTCCGATGTTTCTCTTTCTAACATAGTATCCGAGTAGGTTCTTCCTCCGCCTGCCCTACGCGCTGCTGCCTCCGCGCGTGCACTGCCCACTGCCGAACTGTCGCGCTGCTGCGCACTGCTACCACACGCTGCTGCCGCCCGCTGCGCGCATTGCTGACGCGCTGCTCACTGCTGCCTGCGCGCGCTGCTTCCGCTGCCGCTCACGGGCGCGTTGCTGCTCGCGCGCAGCAGCCGCCCGCGCGCGCAACCGTATTGCCGCTAGTGCATGCGGCCCGCTGCCCACTCGCCGCCCGCTGCAGCACGCGCACCGCCCGCTGCTCACGCGCCGCGCGCTGCCGCCCGTGCACTACCCGCGCGCCACCCGCTGCCGCCCGAGAACTACCCACTGGCCGGCCCGCTCCAGCCCACGCACCGCCCGCTGCGGCCAGCTTGCCCGCTGCTTGCACGATGCCACTCGTGGGCCACCCGCTAGCCGCCCGCTGCCGCCCGCTACCGAGCCGCGCTGCCGCGCCGCCCTGCCTACCGCCGCACCGCCCTGCCTACAGCCGAGACGCGCTGCCGTGCTGCCCTGCCCACCGCCGCGCCGCGACGCGCTGCCGCCCTGCCGCCCTGCCTACCGTCGAGCCGCCCTACTGCGGCGCCACCCGTTCATGCCGTGTCACCTAATGCCGTGCCGCCCTCTCTTCCATTGCACCCCGAGTAGCCGGCCAGTGCCTAGACCTGCAGCTAGTCCCCAGTGTTGCCGCCTGAACTAGTTTTTTGTCATGGTCACTACTACTATCCTAGCGTTTGACGCAGAGAGCCGCCCTATCGAGTTCGAGTCCTGACTAGAGGACCTGCACCTATACCTGCAGAGTGTCACCAAGGACGACGTCTCACTGTTTGAGCGCACGTCGGGGTCCCTCAAGGCCCCCAAGCCTCCAGTTGAGCCTGCCCCTACTGCTGCGAAAGATGCACAGAAGCGGTACCGGGCTGATCGCATTGCCTGCACGCAGTGGACGGCGCGCGACGCCGGTGCCACACTTGCAGTCCGCGCTCACCTCTCGCCCGACCAGAGGGCCCACTTTCGCCAGGTGACGTCTGCCCAGGCCTTCTATGCCGCTGTAGTTAAGCGCTACTCCTCCCCCTCTTCTGCCACCCTAGGCCGTCTTGCGCTGCCGTTCCTTCCCTGAGCTGTCAGACTTCACCGATGTAGCTGACCTCATGACCCATCAGCGCTCCTTGACTCTCGCTACCGTGCTGCTCTCCCGCCAGAGTTTCTGACTGAGAACCAGCCCCCCATGTACCTCACCCTGTACATCCTCGTGACTCGCCTCCCTGACACCCTTCGTACTGTCCGAGACCACATCCTCTCCCTAGACCCACCCTTGCCTCGTTTGAGACTCGTCTCTTTGAGGCCGAGTCCAGAGCCCGCGCTGTCACTGCCTCCCATGGCACCCTTAGCACCTCCTTTTTTTAGGTGTGCAATCCCTCCCTTCTAGCGTCCTCTGTTCCCTCTGCTGCTGCTGTTGACTTCCTCGGTGCTTAGGAGGTCGGCGATGCGTCCGCTCCTAGCGGGAGGTGCAACAGGGGTGGGCGTCAGAGGAGTGGGGGTGGTAGGGGTGGTGGTGGTGGCGGAGGCGGTGGGGGGAGCGGGGGTGGTGGGGTTGACGGGGATGGCGTGGGTGGCGGAGGGGGTGGGGGTGGTGGTCGTGGTGGAGCTGGCGGGGATGGTGGCACCGGTGCGACGTCTGGTGGAGCTGCGTCTGGTGGAGCAGCAGGTGGAGGTGACAGGTCTGGGGGTGGACTACAACAGAAGCAACAGTTACGTCGGCAGGAGACTCCCTCGCCGCAGCAGCTTCGTGAGTGGGTTGCTCAGCGGGGCTCCACCGACGGTGGTGGCTCTGCTACTGGTCCTTGCCCGTACGTGTGTCGCACTGGCCGTCAGGTCGGCGTCTTATGCGGCAAGATGGGACACGGTGAGGCTTGCTGCCTAAAGGACCCCTCCCACGGCGAGTTCAGTGAGCAGGCCGGGGTCCCCGACTGGTTAGGATTGCTCAGGAGGGGCACTGCTATATTTTCTC